TACCCGAACTAAAGATCAAAGGCCATCACTATAAACGGGTTTTTTTGCGAAATCCATATTAACGTTAAATAACTGACGTTCCTGTAGTGTCTCCCATAAACCTTTTCTTAGTGATTGATGAAGTGCCTATCTACATCTCAAGTATGATAGACAAGCGATTCCCGGCGACGTCTCCAGCGTGGGAGCGGTTTTTGTGGCAATTTCCAATAATCCCTTCTTAGTGTTTCTCTACAGTCGTAAATGATGCAAAGGAATCTATTTACTTGCTCTGCTTGCTTCTCAGTAGCAGTTCAAATACTATTTTCGGGGCGGAAAGGGATTGTTAGTAATGGAGTTTGACAGCCCCATTGCTAGCAATATGCCCTATTAGGTCGACCTGCACGTGGTTCCCCCTGGAAACCATCGTGACCAATTCTTGTTGACGTGTCACGATGGGCTAACTGACCTGCTTCATCCTCACCTATCATCTTTCACTGGTACCCCGCCGGTGTATACCGATGGCGTGGGTGGGGTTTACCATTCCATTATCACACATTATAAAAAAATACTATTTTATAAAATCATTCATAACTTTTGGTTACTGAAGTATGACAATGTCACAATTATGGCTTTATTAATTCAGATAACTTTATCAATTATGATTGAAAATGCACCTGAATTATCTCGATGTGTACCAAATTACCTGCCCAGTGCGATCACTACTGGAAAATTTCACTCAAACTGCAATCCCGTTCCTAAAGAGGAAAGAAATTGTTAGTTATAAGATTTTTCTCAAACATGCTTGGAAATGTGAGCATTATTTTGACAATCTTCTTTGAGATAAATCAAAATTGCCGTACTGGCCAGATACATGCGGGCAGCGGCCGGCAAAAGTTGTATGAAAATCCATATCTGTCGTGTTTTGCGGCCAGATAAATTACTATGTAAACTCATATCTGTTCTGTAATTTAAAAATGGAATGACCTTTTACTTCGAAGCATGGCTACCAAAGAGGTAACTAACAAAAGGTTTTATTTAAATTTCGAACTAGCTTGCAAATAGAAAGCTGTTTATTGAAAAAAACAAACAAAGGAACATTATGGCGCGTGAAAAATTATTATTGTTCGTTATTCGTCATTGAACTTAAAAAGTAAAATTGTGTGTGAAAAATACCTACTATACAAGCCTTGGCCACAACTAGGCATTTTCATTTACCAAACATCTCGTCCTTCGACAGATCAGTATTTAAATCGCAAATTTTTTGATACGTAACATATTTATCTTCCGCCATTTTGTGTTGCTTGTAATATAAATTCTTATGTAACAAAGTAGATAGCATTATTTTTAAAAGCATTCTTAGTTTAATTACAAGGCATATCTGTTGAAACATGCGCCCTGGCTGGGGTTGTTCCGGCTCGTGGAATGTCAGGCCTACGTATGAAAAAGTTAATTTCGGACCGTCAGGTAGCCGGGTGGGGTCTCTTTATTTGTTTGGACACAGCCTCGGCTGTGCTTTCAATAAACTATGTGATTTGGTGATAGGCGACCCTACGAGTAGTGAACTTTTTATATATAGCTTTTTGAAGTACATATTCAATTTCAATTCACCACCTCGGTGGTGTAGCGGCTTGATACGTTGCTTCACCATCCGATGGTTGTTAGTTCGATTCTCGTACAATACTCACATTTGTCTTTATTGTATATATACGATCCGATCCGGCTTCGTACGATTCGATAGAATAATCGAAAATAATGCTAACCTATGTTACTCAGTGATAATGTATTTTTCAGTAGAATCAGTTGTGCAGTTTTTGAGTTCATGCATTACAAACAAACAAACAATAAAATGTTTCCTCTTTATAATGTTAGTATAAACGTCTGGACGTTTTCTGCAAAGCATAGTACACTCTGTTACGTCCATAGTACTGTTCATGTCTATAGGCGACGGTTACTTTCCATCAGGTGGGCCGTCAGCTTGTTTGCCATTTACAGTATTATAAAAAAATATATCAAATCAAGGCTACGTTTTTATTTTTACCTTTTGAAATAAAAAAAAAAACTTCTCTAATCTAAAATGCTTAAATAAAAAAAGAAATATTTTTATTTCTTTATTCTACTTAAATAAAAATCAAAGAAAGAAAGAAATATTTTAATTCAAGTAAAATAAAAATATTTTTCTTTCTTTCATAAATCTTTGTACTTACAACAAAAATGTAACTGTTTCTTAGTCGATTTAATATTTCAATTTCTTAATCTCGTAGCAGTGAGACGCTATGAATAAATTATATCAACAGTAGGATTTTATGATGGAAGTGAAATAGCTACAAAAAGAGCAATAAATAATTGTCTTCTGTCTCACAGTTTGCGTTTTGACTAAGTCGTTTCATCTCCCTTCGTTTTTTATGCAACATAGATTGGCAAACAAGCTGGCGGCCCACTTGGTGCAAAGTGGTAACCGTCACCTATAAACACGAACAGTACTATGGACATATTATAATTTTTTACTGTAAATGTGACAATATTGATTACATATATATATATATATATATATATATATATATATATATATATATATATTATTGCGAATTTGTATACCTCGATAGATGAAGTTGATCGTAGAGGACTTATCTAGTTTTACCATTCATTGTTACCTATGTATCACAAAATAAATAAATAAAATTGCTGGCAATATACGCTGTCAGGTCGACATCCACGTGATTTTCCGTAGAAACTATTGTACTAAATTCTAGGTATATTCATTAGGATGGTATAACTGACCTGCCTTTTCACTCTCACCTATCATCGCTCACTGATGTCCCGCCAACGTATACCGTTAGCGCAAGCGGGATTACCATTCTATTAACATTTATTTAAAAAAAAAGCGTAGCTACTTCACAGCAGTAACACGACAAATACATTTAAATACATTTTCTGAGAGATAGTTCTCTCAAAACTTGTCCCGTTTACCACAATAACTACCCATTAACCTTTCACAGTTGGAAATGAATCCCTTGCTCATAATAGAAGGATTATTTTACTATAAATAGATTATCCATTAGGCAATTTTGGGGTGGATTTTATCTACAACTAGCAAACTAGCAACTATCCGGGATAAAAACTAGCTTACGTCATTTCAGTAAACATATCCCGGTCACGTGGACGACTTCTTTTTTAATGAATAATGGTATGATAACCCCGTCTGCGCCACCGGTATACACCGGCGGGACATTAGTGAGGGATGATAGGTGAGGATGAAACAGGTCTGTTAGCTTACCGTGACGAATCTAACAGTAAATCAATCACGATGGTTTCTAAGGGGAACCACGAGGAGGTCGACCTGAGACCAATGGGGTTACTAATCCCCATTATTAACAATCCCTTCTCCCCCCACGTGGATGACGATACGGGTATGGGTACGGTAAAAGATAGCGCATTGTAAATTAACGTACAGATACTGTGAAATCAAGTCACCAATAGAAGGAGGGAGACTTTGTACAAAAATCGAATGCTTGGTACCTCTGTCCCATTCGTGTTTCTACCGTGATGCAGTTGTGTTTGCATGGCTGTGTTTCGGTTAGAAGGGTGGGATATGGCGTGAATTTACAGGGTACAGAGGAATAACATCTGAGTCCTCAGGAATGGCAACGCATGGGGGGTATCATGGGCGAAACAGTATACTCTGTTATGTTCATAGTACTGTTCATGTCTATAGGCGACAGTTACCACTTTCGATCAGGTGGGCCGTCAGCTTGTTTGCCATTCTAAGTTGTATAAAAAAAAGTAAACATTTAATATGATTAAAAATAATACAACAAAATTCCTACATACACCCCTTCATATTTCATCTTTTGGATATTTGTACATACAACATTGCTAATACCAACAATCATTTACATAAACAAATACCGGGAGAAATACCTCGGGGTCCGGGCCGACGTCGCAGACGGCGCGTGCCTCGCCTATGATACCTACTCGTTATGGACCATTTAAATAAAATTGTTTTCAAATGTTATTCTAGAAAGCAAAAACTCTTAATACATTTATTTATTCGTTAAATTTCATTTATTTAAATTCACAACCGATAGTTAACGCGACGCGTTTACAAGTAAATAGTATCTAAATATTTGATTTTTGTTACTAACATTTCGACGTGAATTGCAACGCGTCGTACTGTCGGCAGGACTCAGGTGAACGATGTCTTCTGACAGTCCATACTGTTTAAAATAGCTTATAAAAACGCAGCTTTAATAAAAAATATGTATTAAAAACACGAAAGTAAACTAATTTTATTTATTTAAAAGGTCTTAACACTATTAGGCAGAAAGGGATTGTAAATAATCAGTGGGATCTAATATTGTTAGGAAATGCACCCTGTAAGGTCTACCTCCACGGTTTCCACCGGAAGACATCCTGGTTAATTCCTAGTGAATTCGTCACGATGGGCTAACTGACCTGTTTTCACCCTCACTATCATCTCTCATTGGTGTTCAGCCAGTGTATACTGATAGTGCAGGTGGGGGTCACTATTTAGATATAGATACATAGATAGATAATTTATTTGCATTACTTACAGCACACAAACAACAATAGATATAAATGCACAATGAAAAAAGATAAAAACAAATACATATACAAAAAAAAAAAAAACAAAATGCATAAAATAAGTAAAAATTTTTCCCATCATGCGTGTGCCACAATAACACAAAATGGTCACAACTCAGCTTATTGCTTTGCCCTAAAAAGGGCATAACACTGATATTCTGTTGTGGCCAAAAGTGAGCCGCGATATTCCATAGAAAAGATAATAAAAAAAAGAAATATAGATAAAAAAACATAGTGTGTGTTCATTACATTCACTATTATTTGATATTTTTTTTCGTTTCATTATCATGTATTTTTTTTTAACAAGCAAATCCACTTTCATATTTAGAATATTGGTTAGGATCCACGACGGAATCGAATCTTTTTTTCGAAGCATTATGCACTTACCGATGTATGTAAAGATTCGTGTTTGTTCACAGTACGTGTCGCAAGTGGTAAACCGGTCCACAGTGGTGACATGGCCTACGCCGACAGAACCGCCCGGCTCCAGGAACCCCGCGCCAGGAGTCTGCCTGCCAGTCATAGTCAACTTCTGTCAGCAGCACAGGATATCGTATAACTTCACCGTGTTCCCAAACTACATCGGCCATTTTGGACAGAGGGACGCTCAACAAGTAAGTTTGTAGGTTAGATAATTTTTTTACATACGTACATAAAAAGATCACCTCGACCTTATCAAAACGGCCACACAGCAGTCTTTTTTTATACAACTTAGAATGGCAAACAAGCTGACGGCCCACCTGATGGAAAGTAGTAACTGTCACCTATAGACATGAGCAGTACCATGGACATAACAGAGTATACTGTTTCGCCCATTATACCTCCCATGCGTTGCCATTCCTGAGGACTCAGATGTTATTTCTCTGTACCCTGTAAATTCACGCCATATTCCACCTTTCAAACCAAAACACAGCCATGCAAACACAACTGCTTCACGGTAGAAACACGAATGGAACTGAGGTACCCAAGCAATCGACTTTTGTACAAAGTCTCCCTCTGGTAAATAAAGTCTATTGTGGAATGCTCTCGCTCGGCTGTAAGCAGAAGTAGATGGAGACGTATTACGAGGACCTCAATCGCGAAGGAGGGCCTCATCGACGATCCACGAGTGTACGACTGAAGAGACATAAAAAAATCTTATACTTACATATATACTCGTTAATAATTTCCTCTCTCGCTGCATCAAGTTAGCTGGAAGAGATCTCTTTCAGAAATAAACCCTGCTCTGCAATAATGCACTAAAGATTACGTATACAATATCAATAATTGGACAATTAGTAATGTCATTTTAACAAGATTTGAAGTAAATATTCCTAATGACCACAACTTGAACATCAATCCCATAACTATATCAGGGGGCCTACTATGAAATTTTTCCGAAGTTCATCCCAACCATCTGGACGAGTGGCGATCTTCTACCGTGTGGTTTTTCAAGGTACTTTCTTTCACGCACAACCATTCTTTGGAATCAACTTCCAGCAGCAGTATTTCCGAACCGATACGACAACATAACCTTCAAGAAAACAGCATATTTCCTTTCAAAAGGCCGGCAGCACACCTGCTATGCCTTTGGTATTGTGGGTGATCATGGGCGGCGGTAGTCACTTACCATCAGGTGACCCGCATGATCGTTTGCTCCTTGTGTTGTAAAAAAAAAATTAGGGCCTAACGAAATACAAATTTCATGTCAAAAATACATGATACATATCATTGAAAAATTATAAAAATATTAAAATATCGTTCCTTTAAACATTCATGTTAGTATATATGACGAACGAAATGTAAGCTCCATTTACTGAGCCGATTTCGGTATGAACAAAAAGACGAAATTGAGTCCGAAAATTCGGAATTTCATTTCATGATAGAGCCCTAGGTTACAGCGCTGCCCGTGATCGCTGCTTAATTGATCGAGCTGTGAGAATCGTTAAAATATCATTAGCAGACTAAATAATACCCTTCAATAAATTCTTTGATATAAATTCGTTAAAGCAATTTATAAAGAACAGCTTTAAAATGATTTAATTTAATCCGCCGTGTGGTCCCGGCGTAGAATGGGCCATACCTTACTTTCTCGAGAGTGTCGTAAGTGACGCTGAAAGAACTTAGTGGTTGAGAGATGGGCAGCAGTGTCCCGCTTTAAACCACCAAACCCTAACTGCGGTTGTATTACTGAAAAAACCCCTTGTTACAGAAAAGGCCTGACGATGATTAAAACAATTTAGAATTAAAATAAGACACAAATAATCCATAAATATATCTATGTCTTCAAGCCAAGTTCCATCTTTGAATTTCTGAACCTATAACTCGTCTAATATCATACACGTCGGTTCTGGAGACTCATGACTCCGCCCTCAGAACACTTTGTATCTGGTCAGAGTAGGCTAGACTTGGTCTTTTCAGGTATCTACATCTATCCACATTCGCATAGTATATCTGTTTTGTCCAACGTAGCATGGTCTCTTCTCATTTTAAAACTTACATTTCAATACTTTCTTTCAAACCAACTCGTTCAAATATACTTATTGCATTACGATTGCAATCTGCCAGTGTTACCCAGATAATTCAACGCAATGCTCGCATTTCGACCATCCTTACCTGTCATTTTTTACTGGTGCCCCGCCAGTGTATACCGATAGCGCAGGCGGGGTGACCATTCCATCATCATCCATAAAAAATACACCTGGAGGAATTCAGAAAGATGGTTTCCAGGAAGGACCACTTGAAGGAAGACCTGACATGGGTATATTGCTAGAAATGGGACTACTAACAATCCCTTCCTTCCCTTATAGAGAGGGTAAGTACCCCATTAGAGTTACACCTTTATGTACTCCCCTTATCACCATTTCGTGAGTTTGAAATAATCATATTATGACGTCATAAGGTTGGTACGTGTCTAAACACTCTATGGATGGATTACCGAGCCCTTCTATGCAAACAAATTAACTGGAGTTCTGATCTCTTAGCAACAATCGACTGTCGGCTTTGGGGGTATTTCACTGTTCACTTTATTCCATGTTAATTTTTTTAATCTTTATACATATGGTCATGACATTTTAAAATGGTCTTAATTTGTTGTTTGAGATCATGGAGGTCAAAAAACACTTTTATGTTCAACTGGTTAGAAACACAAGGTTTTTTGGTTTTTAATTCTATAATAATAATAATACATCTTTATTTCACTCAGTGTTACAAATAAGTATGAAATCCCTGACTCCTGAGGTAGGTATGAAAAAATCTATGTTTCAAGAGTCAGTGCCCTCATCAATATGTTGTTGTATTACATTTTTAAGTGAAACAAATAATACGAGTATAAAACATAGTAAGTACTAAAATTTAAAAATTAAAACTACAAAGGAATCCATTGTTTTAATGAGACAATAAGTTATGGGTTCAGTGAATGTCGTGTGGGATGAAAATGTGTGTGTGTGTACATGTGTGTGTGTGCGTGTATGTGTGCGTGTGTGTATGCGCGTGTGTATGTATAAAGTTTGAGTGAGAAATATAAAAGTGTATGCATGTGTGAGAGAAGATAAGAGAAAATGAGTGTACTGTATGTATATTATGTTCTATGCGTTTGTGGAAATGAACAATATCGTAATTTTTTTTGGATGGAATGAAAATAAAATGATAACTACGCCTGTGTTATTCGTATACACTAGCCAGGTATGAACCAGTAATGATGATAACTGAGGATGTTAGGTCAGTTAGTCTGTCGTGACCAATTCACCAGGATTTTTCTATCCGCATATAAAAATTCATCACGATCGATTCAGCGGTTTAGTCGTGAAAGCGTAAGAGACAAACAAAAAATTCACCTTCGCATTTATATTAGTTAAGGATTATATTTACTTCATAAAAACTGTAAAGCTGCATAAAAGCTTGTTCAGTTTTTTTACTCGCTCCCTGGATACCAACACGTGGCACATGTCATTACAAAGGTCCGGTACGGTTCTGGAAACTTTTTATCCGTTTTTGCTAGGTTTAAAACCCACACAGTTATATACAGTCACAATAGGTAAATATATACTCATTGCGAAAGTGCACTGTAGTGATGAGCGAAACTGAATGATTTTGTTATTCGAATAATTAGTAATTACTAATTTGATAATTTAACTACAAAATTAGTGTTACTGCATAATCTATGGTCGCTGCAAAGATCGTGAAGTGTGAAGCAAATTGCGACGACCTACTAATCAGCAGGCACATTCACGTCATTCGTTATAATTGAATTGTATTATATACCGTCACCTCTTCGTTTCATATATATTCAAATTATTGTAAATTTATATAGTTCAATTGCTCACATATTAAAATAATATCCAAAACAACAACAAATTCGTTATTACTGCAAATCCAGTAAAATAAACTTGGAACTACCCAATCGGCAAGGGCAAACCAACGCACACATGCCCAAATAATTAGTAATATACTAATTTCCGTATTCTAATGATTCTACTAATTAGTTAGTTACAACAATAAAATCCTTTCCTTGTATCTATTACTATCTCCCATATTTAGAACTAACAAAATTTTTCATCGTGCCTCCCACCAAACTGTTTATAATTACTGCTCTCCATCCAAAGGTTGCCTGGAAGAGATCGCTCTTAGCGATAAGGTCGCCCATTGTTTTCTCATTGTGATTATTTCTTGTAATTATTTATATTTATAATAAGTTTACTATTGTAATCTTTTGGAGGAAACAATAAAGAGTATCTATCTATCTATCTATCTATCGAGGCCATTTTCTATTCGACGACGAAAAAAAATCACCTATCGCATTTTGGTATATATAAATGTTTACTAAAACTTTACTTACTTACTTTAATTATTACTATGGGAAAATGGTAATTTTTACTAAATTTTAATTGGCAACACTTATGCTCATTAACAAAAAAAAACATTCAAACTATCGGGTCGACTCGGCTATGTTCGTGTCGACTCGTACTTTAACGACTACTAATGAATGAAATTAGTAGCCGAACGGCATTAATAAGTTGCTGACGTTAGTAGATAGATAGATAGATACTCTTTATTGTTTCCTCCAAAAGATTACAATAGTAAACTTATTACAGACATAAATAATTACAAGAAATAATCAGTCGATAAATAGTGGTCGCATGAATAAAATTAGCAGTGGAATGATTATAAAATGATTCGAATAATTCGAATGATTTGCTCAGTCGAATAATTAGTAGTCGAGCATCGTTAGTGTACAGATAAATTCATAAAAGCCATTCGTTATGTTATGTAGTTTTTTTCATTTATACTAGTCTAATTTTATACTATTGTCCTTTACAGCAAAATTTATAATTAAGTTAAATCTAATGACGACATAATTAGATTTGTCAAGCTTCAGACTTCACTACTCTAATAATGGAATAGCAAAACATTATTTTCGATAGCTCTATAGCTGCTTTTGTTATTATTTTAAGCGTGAGTTTGTATATTGTATGTATGTGGGATATGACAGTGAATTTACAGGGTACAGAGGAATAACACCTGAGTTCTCAGGAGTGGCAACGTATGAGGGGTATACTCTATTATGTCTACGCTCATGCCAATAGGCTACGGTTACCACTTTCCATCATTCCTTCAATATACTGTTTCGCCCTTCCCATGTTTACTCTTCAAACCGAAATACAGCCATGCAAACACAACTACTTCACGGTAGAAACACGAACGGGACAGAGGTGTCCAAGCAAACGACTTTTGTACAAAGTCTCTTTCTGGTAAATTGATTGCTTGTCATTCCATTTAAATAAGTACTATTAATTCCGGCCAATCGACGTATCCCTACAATGCGGACGAAGTCGCGTGTAAAAGCTAGTATAATAACGAAACGTAGCCATACCGCACTGTAGCATGTTAAATATAAAAGAGGCCATTAGGTAAATCTATTTGTTTTCCAGGAAAGGAAGGGAACCTCGCAATTATCTCGCCCAACATCACATTCATGACACGACAAAACCGATAATCATTAGCGCAGCCTTTCGTTGCTGAATCAATCATTGTCAACGACACAATAGGCTCGGATGCCTACAATATCTGCCGTGGACAGGGCCGGATTCGTATTTAGACGTCCTACTCACCTCTGACAGGGTAACAAAGTTTCGTGAGCGTATTGTTGTGAAAAAATAACAGGCATAAGTCCTAACGCCGACAGCTTATAAGCCCCTATAGTTGCTGAAAATATATTGGAGTATGTTATTTGAAAAAAAAAAGATAAGTACGTTCTTGATAAATTATTATTACATACAATATGTTTTCTATTCATACTCATTTTGCTTATTTTGAAAAGATATAATAAATGTTTCTGCTTATTTTTTTTTCGACATATAATATCTTATTTTCAATAGGTTTTATCTAGAACTTTCATAACTTACAGTAATAGTATTTTGATTCAATTAAAATTTCTCTTTTAACTAAATATTCAATAACATGTTTACAATTTATTTTTAATAATTTTTACCCTTGTTTTTGTCAGGGGAGTTAGATAAAAAACAGCTTATTTCCTTTCATAACAATTAGCGGTTAAGGTACAAAGACTTCCAAATTTATAATATTAGCGCACACGAATACAATTTACAGAGTTTTCATTGTGGTTTTTTTTTGTCTGGGCCCATAACTTATTGCATTCGTTACTTTCAAAATGTGGCCCTGGATTAGTGAAAGCCTTGTCGTGATTATTTATTAAGGCATCGAGCCTCGCGATATTTTGCTAACGAGACCGTACCTTGCGACTCCATTGTGCGCCGTAATGTATTCAGTTTAAAGAAATTCTCGAATATTCCACGACACACAAGCGTAGGCCTTTGAATCTACCCTCTTTTGTGTAATAGAGTTTTTGTTGAGATCATGCTGATTTGCGATGCTTTATGAGAGTACAATAAAGATGTTGATTAGCTTATATTGAATACAGGTATCTCTTCTGTACTCTTCAAATTCTATGGTTGCTACTTAGCCTTGTTGCTTGTTGATAATTTGGTGACTCGGTGACCAAGGTTTAGTCTGGTCAACATCAAAAACCTGGGAGGAAAGGGATTGTTAGCAATGGGATCTAATAGCCCTATTACTGGCAATATACCCTCTCAGGTTGACCTCCACGCGGTTCCCCCTGGAAACCATTATGTTTAATTCTTGTCGAATTCATCATGGTGGGCCAACTAACGTGCATTTATTCTCACCTATCATCTTCCACTGGTGCCTCGTCGGTGTACGAGTATACCAATAGCGCGGGCAGGGTAGCCAATCCATTTTCACCCATTAAAAAAAAAAGCATCAAAAACTTGTACAATAAACGGTAGGTTATATATATTGCAGGCAAAACTCTGAACCAGTCAAAAGTATTATTGACTAGCAAAATCAGTCAAAAGTACTTTTGACTGAACAGCTGGTCAAAAGTGGTTTTGACTGAAAATTATTGGTTATTAGTACTTTTGACTGGTTAAGAGTTTTGACTGCAACATATATAAAAAGCCGTGTGCTCGCGACATAGTATAGGCCACTCCTTCTTTTCTCGTGGGTATTGTAAGAAGTGACTAAGGGAACTTAATGATCGAGCGATGAAATGAAATGAAATGAGTTTATTTGCATTAAACAGTTTAAAATTATAACAAGCCACGTGGCATTATTTTGGCACCTGTTTAATTGCCTTAAAAGATGTAGCCATGCAAATATTTTACATTTTATATAAAAAAAAACCGGTAAACAAAATTATAATTCAATTACATTATTTAAATTTTACCTTACATATTAAAAGTCTAGATTATAGTACATTGTGTCATTTATACATATATTTACACATAACAACCAATACAATAAATTTACAAAATAGAAAAATGTCAATAGAAGGGGGTAAAAAATAATTAAAATGTCACGCTTAACACTCAAGATATTTCTTAATACTAACATATAAAAAAGTTTGTCCAAAAGCCATTTACTTAGCTCTTTTTTAAATTTAATCAGAGGCGATACCTGAATGTCGGAAGGTAACCCATTAAATGTTACCAGTGATCTAATGATGACCAGTACTATCCCTTTTAAAACATCTCCAAGGCCTAACTACGGTTACCAACCCGCCTGGCAAGCGTGGAAACTACTAGCAAAACCCCCCAATAGAGGGAGACCTATGTTTAGCTGTGGACAATAAACGGCTGGTATGGTATGATATACAACGATTTATAAAATATCAAAAATTATTTCTAAGTTTCAATTTTTGATTTTCGAATTGAAAAATAATATCTTTGTTTTTTTTTTGCGTTAGTTACTAACATGTTTTTTAATCGTCAACAAATTTCAATGATCATATTTATTTATCAAAAGAACTGACTCGAATATCATTCCAATACTATTTTCATTAGGATTTTAAACTGTGAACCAGTTGTGTTTGCATAGCTGTGTTTCGGTTTGAAGGGTGGGATATGGCGTGAATTTACAGGGTACAGAGGAATAACACCTGAGTCCTCAGGAATGGCAACGCATGGGGGGGTATCATGGGCGAAACAGTATACTCTGTTATGTCAATAGTACTGCTCATATCTATAGTGCGACGGTTACCACTTTCCATCAGGTGAGCTGTCAGCTTGTTTGCCATTCTGAGTTGTATAAAAAAAAGGATATTTTTAATGGTTGCCATTCAGATAATAATCTATTTGTGTACTTGTTCACAGGATCTAGAGATATATGACGCTGTGGTAGACGTCAGATGTTACGAATTAACTGCACTCTTTCTATGTTCCTTGTTCGTGCCGAAGTGTGGACCACTAGGGCATATGGTGCGGCCCTGTAGGAGTTTGTGTCAAGGTAAGACAAGAGATTAATTAAAGCTAGTTACGGTCTAATTTATCTTATGGGCATCCGATGCAATATGGCTGCTTTCATCATAACTGGCTTTCGATTAATTTAATATATTTATACCAATTACCTGACGTTCAAGTTAGAATACTCTATGTTACGTGAAATAATTTGTTATTAGACACATTCTGTATTATATGTTTTGTTATGTTAGTTAGAAACACTATATTATGAGAAACATATCGTGTCATGACAAATAACCTATGTTTTGAGAAACTTTATATGATAAATATCTCGTTTTATGAGAAATAATCTGTTTTGTAAAATATTATATTATGAGAAATATCCCCTATTATGAGAAATAATCTGTTTTGTAAAATATTATATTATGAGAAATATCCCCTATTATGAGAAATAATCTGTTTTGTAAAATATTATATTATGAGAAATATCCCCTATTATGAGAAATAATCTGTTTTGAGAAACACTGTATTATGAGAAACATCCTGTGTCACGAGAAATAGTCTGTTTTGAGAAACACTGTATTATGAGAAACATCCCATGTCAGGAAAAAAAGTCTGTTTCGAGAAACACTGTATTATGAGAAACATCCCATGTCATGAAAAATAGTCTGTTTCGAGAAACACTGTATTATGAGAAACATTCTGTGTCATGAGAAATAGTCTGTATTAAGAAGCAGTATATTATGATAAACATCACGTGTCATGAGAAATAATATGTGTTTTGAAAAACACTATGTTGTAAGAAGCATTTCTATTTAGTGAGATAGATACATATATACCCTGATAGATGATATCCTTTGTTTTTGATAAAAAATATTTATTAATATTCTTCTAATCGCTGGCATGAAAAGACAAATTTGTTTTTTAAACTACCAACATTACCAATGTCTTTAAAAAAAACTAAATTTGTATTTAAAATTGTATTTTTTAATCAAATATAGATATATCTCAGAATTGTTTATGTTTCGTGCAACTTAAAATTTTGTTTTTTTTTTCCATTTATTTGGAAAAACTAACAGTGACAAAATAAAGAATAATACATAATATTAATCAAAGAAAACATTGAGTAAATTTGCCACCAACACCGTTTACCACAGTTTAAATTCAAATATACTCGTAATACATGGAATATATGTTTTACTATCACAAGTTTAGATCATAATAATAAATATATATATTATAAAAAATAATTTAATATTGAGAAAAATATCTTAGAAAGTACCTACTAATAATAATGCGTATGTTTACAATTTCTGTGTAGAAACGATGCGGCGCTGCGGCTTCTTTCTAGAAGTGTTCGGACTGTCGATGCCCGATTATCTTCAGTGTGACATATTCCCAGAATCGACGGACACCGATGTCTGCCTTGGCAACAGGGAGGTCAAAGAGGCGCGTTTCAGGGCCGCCAAACCAGGTAATTCGTTTATGTAAGATATACACTTAGTTAGCAAAAACCTTGTGGAATGAATAAATCGCATTATCATATATTACGTCATTAGATTTTTGTCTGTTACTTTCTATGCGTGGATAGTAGAAGTAGATAACATAATGTGTTACTTTAACTGCCCGCTAACGACATGCTTTTTAACTGTATTGGGTTGACCGGAAGAGATCTCTGTCAGAGATAGGACCACCTTTGCTCACAACATTTATGAATGCATTAACAATGTAATTTACAAGTGCAGTAAAGAACATATATATATAAGTTGGCGTATTAAGATGTACCAAATGTACCAGATTTTAAGTTAGACCTTCAGAAATACAACTGTGAAAATCGCATCCAATTTGGTACTATTGCTTTTGCGTGATACCGGAATAAATATACATACAAAAGTATAGATAGGCGAGATTTTAAAAAAATATTGTTTTGACATTTATTATTAAATCCCTTATTAAATTCTTCTTAAACATCCCCCGTGTGGTCACATAGCTCGAAGAACTGACAACCGATGGGGAAGAAAGGTTCTTGAGTGACGACCGCGTACGGGTAGACACAGTGTAAGACGAAACCCACTAGATGGAGTGACGACCTAAAATGCATTGCAGGGAGTCAGTGGATGCAGGTGGCTCGAGACCGTTCTTTATGGCAGTCTCCCCATAGACTGCCGTGATGTTTACCATAATATAAAGACTATAAATTAATAACTTATACAAGAAACTCTAAAAATATGTATTTAAAACATTAAATTAATAAAGTACTGTTTATTTTTCTAAAATACTGTTTAATACTCTCCTCGGATTTAAATACACTTTATTTCTTGTAAAAAAAGTTGATAACCCTATCGTTATAGTCGTAGAATACTGACGGATCTGACAAATATTTCATATAAAGATCCGTCAGTATTCTACGACTACGACGCTATGAATGTGTAGAATGATAAACTTTGTGTTATAAGCCCAAATGATAAGTTTTCTTTCCTTTTTTATCTTATAATTCGATTTAAGAAATAAGTTTGTTGCCATGCTGGATTTCTTCAAATTACATTCTGTTTACAGATTTGAGTTTTTGTATAATGTCACATTCAGGGTAAATTCTTATAACATACAATTGCAGTTGTACCCGTTTGTATTTTTGTTGTATTCTGTTAAGAGAGACTGACTGACTGAAAACCAGAGCTGTGCAGCTGTACACTTTGCATTGGGACATTCACAGCATCAGCTGAGCCAGTTCCTTTTGCCTATTATGAGACACTTCTTATATAGGTACTTACCAGAGCGAGACTTTGTACAAAAGTCGTTCGCTTGGACACCTCTGTACCATTCGTGTTTCTACCGTGAAGCAATTGTGTTTGCATGACTGTGTTTCGGTTTGAAGGGTGGGATATGGCAGTGAATTTATTGGGTACAGAGGAATAACATCTGAGTCCTCAGGAATGGCAACGCATGGGGGGTATCATGGGCGAAACAGTATACTCTGTTATGTCCATGGTACTGCTCATGTCTATAGGCGACGGTTACTACTTCCCATCAGGTAGGATGTCAGCTTTTTTGCCATTCTAAGTTGCATAAAAAAATCTATATTTTCTGTTGTAACTATGTGTTTTTCTGCTAATAAATACATTCTATTCTGTAGTGACATTCCAGGCATAGTTAGTCTAAATGCGGTATACTTATGGTATTATTACGTACCCATTAAAACGTTTCAAAGCTCAATATCTTTGTTAACTTCACTAACGTTAAGTACTCACTAATAGCTTCTCTCGTTAATTGAGCAAACAAACTAACAATTCGACATTCGATAGACGAAAATTAATTAAACCGCGATCAAACGGTCTTACAAGTGAAAAATAATTTACTATAAGTAGGTACCTATAATAAATTAATTTCATTTATATGTATTGAAATCTAATTCGGTATCATAGAGTATTACCCTCATACATACCAGCTTAGTCTTATTGTCTTGACGAGTAATGAGAATTGTTGACGATACCAAGCTCACAGGCGGTATCGAGCCCTTAAGTCTAAGGCGAGATTTTGCCTCCCTTTGTGTCTTCTACCGCTTGTATAACGGATTTTGTTCTGAGGAATTGTTTGAAATGATGTCCACAGCTACATTTTATCATCGCACCGCTCGCCATCGACAGGGAATTCGTCCTCACACGCTTGAGCCTCAATGGTCACGTACAGTGCGGTTTCAAAGGAATTTCCTCCCGCGAACGTTTAATCTGTAGAATGAGCTCCATGCCGAGGTAATGAATGATAATAGAATGGTAACCCTACTCGCGCTATCGGTATACACCGGCGGGGTACCAGTGAAGGATGATAGGTAAGGATGAAGCAGGTCAGTTAGCCCATCGTGACGAATTCAACAAGAATTGTTCACAATGGTTTCCAGGGGGAATCACGTGGAGGTCGACCTAATAGGGCATATTGCTAGCAATGGAGCTGTCAAACTCCATTGCTAATAATCCCTTTTATTATAATATATATGTAATTAGTAACAAACCGAAACATTCAAATGATTAATATTTTTTTTATTAAAAAAATAATAGATTTTTGATTAAAAGATCTACGCGGACGGAGCCGCGAGATATGGCTTATCTAAACTAAAATAAAGAAGAAAAACTAGACTGTTCATTTGCTCTTTTGTAATGGATAATCTCAGACACTATTTAACCGATTTTAAAATCCCTATAACCTACAGAAACCTATATTTGTTAATAACATAGGCTATAATTAATGTAATAAAAGTTTACCTACCTGAAGCGAAGCCTGGATGGGTCGCTAGTATATTATAATCACTGTGAAATATCTTCTATAAAGATGTTATCAATTTTGACAACAAATAATGGATCCTAATGAATGTTTGTGTTAATGCACTTTACATTTTAATTAATTAATCTCTAATTAATTGTACTAAGAACATTAATTTAGTAATACATTAATATTTGAATGCATTCAATTATTTCATTCGACTTCTATCACCAGAGGGAGACTTTGTACAATAGTCGATAGCTTAGGTACCTCTGTCCCATTCGTGTTTCAACCGTGAAGCAGTTGTGTTTGCATGGCTGTGTTTCGGTTTGAAGGGTGGGATATGGCGTGAATTTACCGGGTACAGAGGAATAACACCTGAGGCCTCAGGAATGGCAACGCATGGGGGGTATCATGGGCGAAACAGTATACTACGTTATGTCCATGGTACTGTTCATGTCTATAGGCGACGGTTACCACTTTCCATCAGGTGAACCGTCAGCCATTTGCCATTCTAAGTTGTATAAAAAAAAATCTCGTTAACATGCAAGGTGTAAGTCGGTGAATTAGTTGAGAATAATTTACTTGCAACCTTCATCTCGCTCGTAACAACTTTCAATACAGTTCATTAACTGTAAGATTTGACTGTTAATTAGCTATGCTCACTGTAAACCTAATTATTTGTGCATCAACGTATACAAGTATTCATTTCAAATATTTATTAGCACTATAGTAAGTAAATTGAGGTATTTGTTAGTCCTTAGTTAGTGATTTGTGTGAATATACATAAGTACGTGAAGCTGTGTAGCGGTATACAATTTATATTACGCACCGCATAATTGAAGTGAGAAGTAATTGTGAAATGAACTGATAGATTTATAGTAGAGTCGTTTTCTGTGACTCTGTTCGAGTGATTTAGTATTTAAAGTGTGTTCAAGAAATGTATTTTTCATATCGAAAGTTTAGTTTGAAAACAGATACTAGATGGCGTTGTTAACAAAAGTCGCTGTTAAGGTTTTCCTGTATTTTGTTTGACCTGCCCTTAGAGAGAATTAATAAAGAGATCCTAACATTTTTACTGCATTGTAGTTGTGTCATTCAATACCATTGGTAGCAGATTTTTAACTCACGGTACCTAGTTATTCAAAGTGTGTATGAGTTAATTTAGTTACCAATGTACAAAATTTTATTGAAATCTGTTCAGTCATTTAAACATAATTGAGTAACAAATAGCGCATGGGGGGTATCATGGGCGAAACAGTATACTCTGTTATGTCCATGGTACTGCTTATATCTATAGGCGACGATTACCACTTTCCATCAGGTGGGCCGTCAGCTTGTTTGCCATTCTAAGTTGTATAAAAAAAAAAAAAAAAAAACCATCATTATCATGTCAGCCATTATCTGCTCACTACTGAACATAAGCCTCCCCCATAGACTGTCATAAGGACGGGTCCATTCCTTATGGCTGTTTACCATTGGAAGGATTTTGCTGGTAGTTGCCACGCTTGGCAGGCGGTGTGGCAACCGCAGTTAGGTTTTGGTAGCATTGTATGAGGGACGCTGCTGTCCATCCCTCGATCATTATGTTCCCTTAGTCGCCTCTTACGACAACCACAGGAAAGGAAGAGGCGGCCCATTTTATGGCGGGACCACACGGCCATATTATATATTAATTGTGAATATAAAATAAAGCTTGTATAAACGAACAAACAAACTGCATTGGCGAGTTCACCCTTTTTTGCATAATGGTGGTAATTTCCATCATAACATTGAATGCTCAAAAATTATATAAAAGACCAAGTTCACTTTAAGTTGATCGTGTATGGATACCTTTTTAATGTCCATTGCAAAAAAAAAAAGAACAGCTGGCAATTTTTTTTTTTACAATTTTTCCCTTAATTTTGAACATGAATTATATCGCCTTGATTTATTTCACCAAAAAAAAAAAAAAACCTTCCAATGAAGGGTTAACATGGCGCGTGGTTTTATTTCGAGTTATCCTTCTATTTCTCATAAACTTATATATTAATCGCCTCTTACAATATCCTGGCTATGAGATATAAATTAAGGTGTTGACAAGTTGTAATTTTACTTCATTACCACATTCAATCACCAGCATACTTTAACTAAGTACTATCTTCACCAGTATGCCCCACTGGATTCCAATGCGACATAAAACGCTGCATCCCACACGACTGGCGCTGCGACGGGCACGTGGACTGCGCAGACCGATCTGACGAACTCAACTGTCGCGTCTGCAAACGGACAGGCGATGTGCACTGCGGAAACCAGCGGTGCATCTCGCAGTCACATATGTGCGATGGCAAGATGGACTGCCCCTGGGGACAAGATGAGAGGAATTGTTGTAAGTTTTATATTTATATTTTAACTTTACACAGTCACGTCACATTCTAAAGAACTCTTTCCTACCAGTCGTCAAGGGATTTATCATGTAATCATTTTTACAATGGATGATAATGGAATGGTAACCCCGCACCAATGATAATCCCTCACTGGCGATGCACCGATGAGAGATGACAAGTGAAATTGTAAAGGCAAGACAATTAGCCCATTGTGATGAATGGCACCGCATGGACCTGACAGGATATATTGCTTGCAAATGGGACTGGTAGTTCGGATTACTAATAATACCTTCCCCTATGTAATCGTTTAGGATTTGACAAAAGCTCCCTGGTTACTCCTTGCACTGTGCATATAAGTGTTGGTAGTATTCCTCATCTTGTAAGTTGGGCAATACTCGTAAGTTAATCAACAGGGCCTTACGTAGACACGTAATTAAATGATCCCAAACTTAAAGAGAAATTAGGCTGAGATTTAATGGCATCCCTGGACTGCAACAAGCGTTGCCCAACGGAGCTATGACCACTCATCATTTTGTTTTGACGACCATCATAATGTTTGATGGTGGACACGTTGTTTTGCTTAATTGAGTTCCAATTTCAATTCCGAACCAATTAAGGAACTTTTCTAAATTAGTTCAGGTCAGCAATTTTAAGTAGTGCCCCAGATGTCCAATGCCTAGCTCCGTACAACACAGGATATCTTAGTTTAAGAACTAGGCAATTTTTGTGTTTGTGTGGCACTTTAATATTATAATTTTTTCATATACATTTCATAACAGTGAGACTGAGTGAAGCAAACGGTGACGTGGGCAGAGGCGAACTACAGGTATATCGCGCCGCCAACCAGTCCTGGTTCTCAGCGTGCATCACGACCCTGGACGACAACACGGCTTCCAAGCTGTGCGCCATGCTTGGTTACTCGTGAGTTTTGAACACTCTTTGTTGGTGCTAATGTCTTACGATAGAACATTTACTGTTTTTGAATCATTTTACAATGTAATTTTGAACGGTAAAGACTCAAAGGAGTGCTATCGTAAATGACTAATAGCTCATCTATCGTAATTTATTAGAATAAGTATATTAAAATTTAAATACAAAAGGAACTTTGCAGAAAAGTTAATTGCGCGTACTTCTATTCGACTCATGTCTCTGCCATTAAGCAGTTTTGTTTGAATAACTGTATTTTAGTTTGAAGAACCCTTATCGAACCAAATATGACAATTAAATTATAGGAAACGGAGTCATAACACTTTAGTCATCAGAACTAGCAACACATAAGCTTTTGTGTTGCCAATTTCGAGGGCTAAGGTATCTATAGCGCTCACATATGATGTCCATGGTTCGGTTCATATGTACTCGTATAGCATAGGCGACAGTCACCATTTTCCATCTGGTGGACCGTTTGCTTATTTGCCATTTCAAATCCTTGTTCCTACTAATATTATAAATGTGAAAGTGAATTTGTTTGTAACTTTTAGCGCCTTAACAACTTAATCAGTCACTATAAAATCTGATATACTCATACTATATGCGATGGAGAGGAATATAGGCTACCCTTTATCCTGGTCAGTGAATATATTTTGATCACGTGGACGTAGTAGCGGGTAAAAACTAGAAAATAGTATAAAAGTTACATACGTTCATACATTACGTTCGTGTTTTAATACTGAAATGTTATTAACAGGTGGGTGAATAGAAGCACGCCAGTAACGGTCCCAGGCTACCCGGGCTCCAGGGCTGGACGTATGCATATGCATAGCGTGGCGCAGACGTTTCGTGCCTTCCAGCTCAACGAGGGCGGTCTGCTGAAGGAACTCAAGGAATGTCGACAGGATACCACCAAGGTCCACCTAGTGTGTCAGAATTATGGTGAGTAATTTGCTATATTATATCTATTTTAAAATTAATGTGGAAAGATCCCAAAGAGCTCTTCTAAATGTGGCCTACTCTAAACCACGTATTTATCTCACTGACAAACTTTATCAAGAGTGTGATTTATCAGTCAGTAAGAAGGATTTATATACTATATGTAACTTTAAAAAGACACAAAAGTGTAGGACTAGACTTTTCTTATTTATTAAAACGTAGGAAAAACATAACTCTGATGGAAAATAACGCTAGGACAAGTTTTGCTATGCGACAATATAGTAAACAATCAACACATTTATACAAGTTATTAAATAGTAAATTAAATATCTATAACCTAAACAAATTTGATTGTAAAGGTGTAATTACTAAATGGTTAAAAACTTTAAATTACCACGAAACAGAAGAACTCTTCAAATATAAAAAATATCGATAAGTTACTTTTTAATAAAAATCTTAACAAAACAGATTTGCGCAGAACTACACAACACTAATACAACATACACACTACATAACAACTGTTACATGTTCGCGCACGTACACGCACACATGCACTCACACGCACGCACACATACACATGTGTAATTGCGAAAACAACAATATGGCAACACTATCGCAAGGAAAATAGTAGCTTTAATTGTTGCAAAATTAATATAGAACAAATATTCATTTAATTTTATGTACCTATATAAAATCGATTCAGATTTGGCGAACTTATCGCATAATATACGCAAAAAAAGACGAATTTAAAATCCCTTTCTTTTAAAAGACACTTAAAAATAATTTTATTAAATGTAGTCATATCCTATAACTGTCTATGATTTTATCCCTTTTTCTATAAAAAAATAAATAAAAAAAATGTCCGTACAAGTAATAAAAAGCCAGACAATAAACCGTTTGGTAAATAAAAATAGAGACATTCTCTGTTTATGATCATCGCGTCCCGAGGGGACCGGTTTGGTATATGTAACAACAGGCACGACTATCTCAGTGTCTGTTCTCCCGGGCTAGATACTAGGCAATATAAGATACTGGTACAGAGTAAGGAGTCACACTAGCAATACAAGTTACGACATTACTCTGTGCACAAAATATCATGGTGAGGTTATTTTTTTTTTTTATACAACCATCTGATGTAGAGTAGTAACCGTCGCCTATAGATATGAGCAGTATCATGGACATAACAGAGTATACCGTTTCGCCCATGACACCCCCCATGCGTTGCCATTTCTGAGGACTCAGATGTTATTCCTCTGTACCCTATAAATTCACGCCAATTTACATTATTTTACGTTTATGGATATTGTACATATCTATTTAATAAATTAACTACTTTCCTTCCTAATATTATAAATTAGCGACTCGCCTTCGACTCGACTTCGCACGGGTGCATACTACATTACATCACATTAGAAACTTCTAAAATTATCAGTGTTTCTCTACTATATCATACATATAAGCCTTCCTTTTTTTATCTATTAAAATAAAACGTTACACGAAAAAAGAGAGAGTTAGTGTGCACGTATCACATCCATACAAAGGTATACTCCAGATATAGGTTTTAATAAGCCAGTATAAAACTAATGATTAATTCTAATACCAGTGGCTAAATATGATCCTAAGTAGACAATTAGGTGGGTAAGTATTTTTTTTTACAACACAGGGGGCAAACAAGCATGCGGCTCACCTGATGGTAAGTGACTACCTCCGCCCATGATTTATTTATTTATTTAATAAGGTTCACATACAACTTTTACATTTTACATGCAACTTAATAACACAAAAAATAATTTTGCCTAATGTAAAAATCTTTTATACGAGAACACCACGTGCACTATTATAATATTTAATAAATCATTAACAATAACAATAAGATTATCTGAATAATAAGTAGATTAAGAACTTATGTCTAAGATTTTCCGCAATAAGCTATATCTGCTGTTGGTGGGTCCAAAATTGATGTCAATGATCACCCACAACACCAACGGCATTGCAGGTGTGCTGCCGGCCTTTTAAAAAGGAATATGCTCTTTTCTTGAAGGTTATGTAAAGTAACATTTAATTAAATGATATTTTAATTTAATTAACATTTATTGGATATGTACGCTCCTCTAATTTTATATTTCCTAGTACAATATTGTACAATTCATTCGTTTTTGTAGAATCGCAATATTTTTCTTATTCTAGAAATAGACTGCTGTCTCTTATTAAAGCATTTCCGTTGGCCCTTGACGTTTTATTCTCTCTCGTTCTCAATATTTTCTACTGATTATTATTGCTTCATACGATTATCTTATTTTTATTTATTTTTTCTTAATAATGTAACAATAATATCATGAGGAAAATACAATAAATAATTAATGTTTTATATATTTAGGCTCGCTTCTCTTACGATGCATTTTAATGTTTAACGAAATATAGACGGATTTTTATTTATACAACTTAGAATGGTAAACAATCTGACGGCCCGCCTGATGGAAAGTAGTATCTGTTGCCTATAGACATAAGCAGTACCATGCACATAACAGAGTATACTGTTTCGCCCATGATATCCCCTATGCGTTGCCATACCTAAGGACTCAGGTGTTTTTTTTAATGGATGATAATGGAATGGTAACCCCACCCGCGCTATCGGTATACACCAGCGGGGCATCAGTGAAGGATTATAGGTGAGGATGAAGTAGGTCAGTTAGCCCATCGTGACGAATTTAATAAGAATTGTTCACGATGGTTTCCAGGGGGAACCACGTGGAGTTCGACCTAATAAGGCATATTGCTAGCAATGGGGCTTTCAAACTCCATTGCTAACAATCCCTTTCCCGCCGAGGATTTAGGTGTTATTCCTTTGTACCCTATAAATTCATTGCCATACTCCACCCTTTAAACTGAAACACAGCCATGCAATCACAACTGTTTCACGGTAGAAACACGAATAAGACAGAAGTGACCAAGCAAACGCCTTCTGTACAAAGTCTCCCTCTGGTTTGTGGATTGTGTAATACGTTCAACACAATAGACGACAAATGCGTATGACTACCCCATTACGAGTTATAGTCGTGAGCGTATTTATATATTTTTATACTAGCCATCCATCCCAGCGTCGTATGAGTGCGAACTGTACAAATAAATAATACAAACCTTACGTACAAAAATATCTAAATGACAGTTGCCGCATTTTTTTTTTTTTTTTTTTTTACAACACAGGGGGCAAACGAGCATGCGGCTCACCTGATGGTAAGTGACTACCGCCGCCCATGATCACCCACAACACCAGCGGCATTGCAGGTGTGCTGCCGGCCTTTTAAAAAGGAATATACTCTTTTCTTGAAGGTTATGTTGTCGTATCGGTTCGGAAATACTGCTGCTGGAAGTTGATTCCAAAGAATGGTTGTGCGTGGAAGAAAGTGCCTTGAAAAACGCACGGTGGAAGACCGCCACTCGTCCAGATGATTGGGATGAAACTTTAGTTTGTGGCGGGTTGTACGGTGGTGAAAATCAGCAGCAGGTATCAATCCGAACAATTCCTCAGAACACTCCCCATGATAAATTCGGTAGAAGATGCACAGAGATGCAACATCTCTGCGCAGTTTCAATGGGTCAAGTCGGACAGTAAGGCGTTGACTATCGATAATTCGAGCCGCCCGACTTTGAATGCGGTCTAACGGAAGGAGTTGGTACTGTGGCGCTCCTGCCCACAGGTGAGAACAGTATTCCATATGCGGCCTGACTTGGGCTTTATATAATTTCAGGCGGTGTTCTGGCATGAAATATCGTCTCACCCTATTGAGCACTCCTAACTTTTTGGAAGCTATCTTAGCCTTCTCCTCCAGATGACCGCAAAACTGGACGTCGCAAGATATATCAACGCCCAGAATTCCTAGACTTGACTTTTTATCGAGGGAAGTGCCCTGAAAGTGAGGAGATACGACAAACGGCGTCTTTTTTGCGGTAAACGCGCAGACTTGTGTCTTTTTGGGGTTAAATTGGACAAGATTTTGTTCACCCCAGATCGAAACTTGATGGAGTGAAGTTTCGATTTCAGACACAAGTCTATTCCGGCACTCATCGGTATGTGCCCGCGAGATCTTTGCATGACCGGTATATAATGTATCTCCTGTACTGTCGTCCGCATAGCAATGAATATTACTTATCTGTAACATATCATTGATATGCAGAAGAAACAGAGTCGGAGATAGTACACAGCCTTGCGGGACACCAGCATTCAAAGGTTTTAAATCAGAGCATGCACCGTCGACTACGACCTTAATGCTACGTTCCTTGAGAAAACTGGCGACCCAAATGCACAGTCTCGCAGGCAACCCAAATGAAGGTAGCTTTGAAAGCAGCGCTCTATGCCACACCCGATCAAAGGCCTTCGCAATATCCAGACTAACTGCTAAGGCCTCTCCCTTACTCTCAATTGCCACTGCCCATCGGTGTGTTAAGTAAGCTAAAAGATCACCGGCCGAACGTCCCTGTCGAAAGCCGTACTGGCGATCACAGATCAGCCGGTGCTCTTCTAGGTACCGGAGCAGTTGACGGTTAATGATGGATTCCATAACCTTCGAGAATAAGGAAGTGATAGCTATGGGCCTATAGTTAGCTGGATCTGAGCGATCTCCCTTTTTAGGGATCGGATGCACCAGAGCAGTCTTCCAAAACTTTGGGACTATGCCCGATGAGTAGCTAAGCCGAAAAAGACGCGTAAGAACCGGAGCCAGCTCTGGTGCGCACGTCCTAAGCACAATTGGAGGAATACCATCAGGCCCACTCGACTTATGGATTTCGAGGGAGAAAAGTGCTCTACGCACTGAGCTATGCGTGAATTTAATATCAGGCATAGAGCTCCTACAACACGTGATGGTCGGTGGTGGTTTCTCCCCGTCATCCAATGTCGAGTTTGACGCAAAGATGGATCCAAGAAGATCGGCCTTTTCTTTAGCGTTCTGGGCCAACGAGTCATCCTCCCTGCGCAAAGGTGGAAAAGATGACTTACAGAAATTCCCTTGTGCAGCTTTGGCAAGAGACCAGAAAGCTCGAGTCCCAGAGGGCAAACTAGCCAATCTCTTGCCAATTCTACTAATATGCTCTGACTTCGCTGTGGCTATAACTCTTTTGAAGGACCTAGAGGCAGAGTTATACTTCTTTTTAAGAGCACTGGTGTTAGGATCTCGCGACGCCACACCTTTAGCCCAGGTTAGGAAGCACTCCTGTTTCAGACGAGATGCTGTTCTACAGGAGGCTCCATACCAGGGCTGGGATTTCCCGCCGACGGGCACCACAGAGTTAGGAATAAATAATTCCATTCCCTGAAGCACCACATCAGCAATGGAATCGGCAATGGCGTCGGGATCATCCAGTGTGAAGCAAACCTGCCTCCATGGGTAAGATGCGAAAAAAATCCGCATCTCATCCCAATCTGCCGACCTGTAGTGCCAAATGCGACGTCTACCCGTAGAACGAGGTGGAGTCGGACTCGTAAGAGGCACTTCGCTCCGCACCAAACAGTGA